GAGTGCAGTGAGGAGTACAGATACCTGAGGTGACCTTTATGCTCCTTTTTATTTGTGGAAGAGAGATGTCTTCTTCTTTACAATCTATGTCTATGATCTTTTTACAAAGCCTAATACATGTTCTTTAGTTAAAGGGGGTGGCCATAGCTCAGTGTGTGAGCACATATACTAGCACTATGCATGTGTGCGTCTGTGTCAAAACAATCTCACTCCCAACTCATCAAATACTGCAGCTTGGTCAAATATGACACTGTAGGTGATCTTTTGTGTCATTTCTGGACACACAGTGCTCTGAGGTCCAGTTAGCAATAATAACTGTCAAACACACAAATGCAGTGGCAGTGTTCTGTGTCCAACACTGCTATAGTTCATGGTCAACATATTCTATATATATATCCTAGTATTTCAGAATGACAGCTCTTAGCATATGCTTTGAGAAAAAAGTGATCTTTGCTAAGAAAAGGTTGCTGACACTGCACTATAGTCTAGTATAGACATTCACTCATAGTGAGTCTGCTAAACCTACATGAGTGCATATCTTGTTGGTTGTGCTGGTTTTTTACCTATCGTGCATTCTTTCTATCTGTTTTCGATGGAAATATTCAAGACATAGGATATTTCAGAGTGGAAAGCATACATATGAGGAAAGTACAACAGAACAAATGAAGAAATGTCTTTAGGCATTTATTTAAAGCCTGTGTGTTGCAGTTAAATTAAAAAGTGGAAAAGGTACATAACGGTACATAACAAGAGCAAAGAAGAAGTGTGTGTGTCTCCATCTCACCATTAGATTGACTACAGGCTGTGCTGTCTCTGATTGGCTGTTCTGTGGGGTTGGTGGAAGGCTCGGAGGGGGTTGGGATGCTGCTAGTGGCCCCCCTACCCCTGGGACCACCAGCCACCATCTGCTGGTAAGGTAACACCACTGGTGGGGGCCAAGTGTCCAGCTGTGGGGGGGACACTGGAGACCAACACAGCGAGGACTGACACAGAGGCTGAAAGCCATTAGACTTCATCAATAAAAGCCTGCACTCCTCCAGCTATTCACAGGATAATTGAAAAGTTAATTACTGCAAGGGTTTATTATGAACTGTTTATTTTGAATTAGCAGCTTATTTATAGTGTACTGGCTGAATAAGGTCAAACGAGATGAATAAATGAAGGATTTGGGATGGATTTGTGAAGAATTTGCCCTAACAAAGGAATTCCTTCAATTTACTCTATTTACTCCACCTCTGAATTTCAACCAGTGTTTCCATCTTTCAGCTTTCTTTAATGTAAGAAAAGTATTTCTCCTAATACTCGTCTCTGAAACCATTTTGACGCATTTCTCCCAGTTAATATTTGCTTTGTTTGTGTCTCCTCCTTATTGAGGTATGAGAGAATGGAACCATCTGCCTCTTTCTGGGTAATTCATTACTGCAGATGGGGCTTAAAGGTCTTTTCAGCCGTAGATTGTATAAACCAAATATCTGAACAGAAATTAATAAAATGTGCAACTTATTCCCTGGAGATGGTAAATGTGCATGATGGTGTAAAAGCCGGGATAAATCAGTGTACACAAACTCTGTCTGTGATGCTCAGCATGAGTTTACGTTAGTGTTGGTATGTGTATTCCCTTTATATCCCTATTAAAAAGCTTTTTGCTATAAGGGGTATCTGTGGTACTTTAATTTTCAGTAACACCACACCAGGGTTCAGGTATCTGTGGTTGCTCTGTAGTGGGATTCTATGTTTTTTTAGAGTGAAATGAGAAGATTGATAACAGTTTGTGTGGTAAGTACGAAGCTGGAGCCAGAATGTGTTTAAACTAGCTTATCTTACAGATTGGAAGCAGGGAAAAACAGCTACCCTGGCTCTGTGCAAAGTTCAAAAATAGGCCAGCAACTCCTTTAAAGCTAATCGCTAATCAATAGGTTGTATCTATAGAGATGTTGGAAGGTGTATTTGGTGGTCCTCTTTATAGAGCCAGGCTAGCTGTTTCCCCATGCTACCAGGCTTTATGCTAAGCTAGGCTATCCACGCTCTGACTTCTTCCATTTCATTTAGGGATTTTAGAGCTTTTAATCTACAGTAATAACCCTCTGGTCTATTTTAGTAGTGGCGTTTACTATGAGTATTGCCACAAACCCGTTGGGTTCTGTCAAAGTAACAGGCGGTTGGGTTAGGATGATTTTGTTGCTTGGGGTGTGAGGTCAGATTCAGGTCTTGAATTAGGCAGTATTAGTTTTGTTCAGTAGGGTCAGGTTTTTTACAGCACTGGCTGAAGCCTAACTAACCCAACTAACTAGCTTCTGATGTGGGACCCAACTTTTGTTTCAGAAATGTTTCACTCTATTTCATGAGTCCCTAGAACATTCCCAGAAGGTCTGTACATAACCTTCCTTCATTGTTATATAAACACTGTCAGGAAACTAATGTTTCCCTAAACTACCTCCCCAGAAGATCATACAAGGTTCCTGTAACACAATATTCTAAATGAACAGAACTGTTCTAGGAACTATATCTTTGACCAAAAAAAAAATCTTTCCTTAGGGAATCAGTGGGAACTTTTTAACCATAGGGGAACATCCTCCTAACCTTCTCAGAACGTTTCCCCAGAGATCCTTAATGGTTATTTTATGGAGACCACATTTGGCTTCTTTTATTTTTTTAATGGGTTGATAAGAGACAAATAGACGATGCCATACAAAGCTACATCTAACAGTTTTAAACTCTGTGTTTAATGTGAGTAATATGTCAAATTGAATGGTACTTCTGACATGAATGTATTTGTATCATCAGACTGAATCTACACCTCACTGATATTTCCTTTAAAGGGACACTCTCTCCATTTTACACATTAAAGTTAGCTTACACATGAGCACTACAACTCAGCCTGTGAAAACAGTTATATAATATCTTCTGTGGCTCTGGAGGAGCTGTGTCAAGTCTGAGTAAATAACCTCTGGTGATGTCATAGTGATGTCATCAGAGGTTATCTAGGAGTAGGCTCGGGGACTATGACTTTTTAACTGCATTAAAAACTCAGGAAGAGGAGTTTGGAAAAGAGGAGTCTAACAAAGCTACACTATGGAGTTGCATTATGGGAAATGTAGGATCCAGTGTTTTTGGAGCTTGACCAGTGGCGTATCCAGGCTTTTTTTGACTGAAATAGCCCAAGTGGGGCACTAACTCATGCAGGGTTGGCATGAAGTACAAGTCGGAATAGCATTTATTTACATTATTTATTTCTCCTATATCTACTTGAATTACTAATATTACAGTATCTTACGGTTTCTTACATTCCTGTGTTTAAGATTTTTTTTATTGAAAATTTAAATCAATAGACCAATCACAAAACAGTGGTGCCAAAGATATAAAGTTTCCATACTTTATTTTATCATGTCCTCAAAAATAAATTTCCAAAAAAACTCCAAAAGTAAGCTGCATGCATAAAAAGAACATTCACAAATACAGTCACTGAATAACAAAATGTAAATAAATAAGCCTGTGTGGACAAAATATTGTGTTGACAAAATTGTGCAAAACCTAACATCTACACAATAAATCTTTTACATAAAATGTGCTACAGTGAAACATACATTTAAAGTAATGAAAGAATTTGAAGTAATTTCCCCACGGGGATTATTAAAGTATTTCTGATTCTGATTCTGATTCTGAAAACAGATTAATTCACCTGTTGGGTTTTTTCAAACATTTTGAAAACAAAACTCCAGTTTACCCATCAAACAAGAGAACTAAGGTCCCGCCTCTGACCGGCTACATAACCAATCATAGTTTAGAAGTAGGATAATGGTGGCACCTTGGGTGGCCAATCAGGTTTCAGGGGT